CCCTCCCCCCCACTTGTAATTTTGGGGTAATTACAACCTGACCGACAAAAAAAAAGTAAATCCCTATTTAATAATTCAGATTTTTAAACCATTTTTCATCAATCCCTGGCCTGGCTTTAATCAAAACAGTATTTTCCTCCTCATTTTCACCTTTTTTTCGTGCCAAAAATGATGTCAAAGCACTGGGTGGGTCGGTCCCGTGGGGTTGTCTGTGTTTTCTTTTTTTTTTTTTTTTTTCCCCATCTTTCTGCAAAAAAAATATAATAAAAGGAGGAGCAGGAACCCGTTGCCCCGGGGTCGCTCTCGGCATTTGCATCAAGGATTTGAGGACAAAACAGAGCTTTTTGGGGTCGGATAAAAACCAGAGACAGGTAAGGTGAAATATATAGAGAAATAAATATAATTTTTTTTGCAGAAAAAAATGTGGAAGTAGATTTGGAAATTCCTCAAATATTCCCCCAGCTCTGGGTTTGTTCTTGGTAGCAGCTGAATTTGACCATTTCTGAGGGAATTTTGGGGGGAAGAAGAGGAGAAAAGGGAAAAAAGGAGAGGAAAAGGGGGAAAAGGAGAGGAAAGGGGGAAAAGGGGAAAAAGGGGAAAAGGAAAAAGGGGGGAAGGAGAAAAAGAAGAGGGGAATTGGGGAGAAAAATGAGGAAAAGGGAGAAATGGGGCAAAATGAACAAGGGAAATGGGAAAAAAGAAAAAAATGGGGAAAGGGGGGAAATGGAAAAAAGAGGGAAAGGGGAAAAAAGGAAAAGAGAGAAAAGGGGAAAAAAGGGAAAAAGAGGAAAGGGGAAAAAAGGGAGGAAGGGGGAAAAATGGAAAAAGGTGGGGAAAAGGGGAAAAGAAGGAAAAAAAGGAGGAAAAAGGGGGGGGGGAAGTGAATCCGCTCGGAGGAGAGTTTGAATTTTGTAAAAATTTGAGGGGACCCAAATGCCTCGTCCTGGGTCTGTTTCCATGGAGATGTGAAGTGATGGGATGGGGGATCCTGGATGGGGGGGGCCCCACGTATAAATGCCCCAAAAAAGCGTATTTTGGGGTCAGGTGCAAGTGCAATAAAATATAGATTTTTGGGGTAGGTGTAAATGCAACAAAATAGCAACTTTGGGGATGAATACGAGTGAAAAAAATAGATTTTTGGGGCATGTGTGAGTGCGAAAAAACAGACTTTTGTGGGGAAAAAAAAAATTTTGGGGGCATGTGTGAGTGCAAAAGACCAGACTCTTGTGAAAAAAACCCCAGATTTTGGGGGGCATGTGTGGGTGTGAAAAAACAGATTTTTGTGAAAAAAAAACCCCAGATTTTGGGGGCATGTGTGAGTGCAAAAACCCAGACTTTCGGGGCAAATGCAATAAAACACTTATTTTGTGAATGAGCGCAAGGGCAAAACTACACTTTTTTGGGGACATGTGTGAGTGAAATAAAACGTGGAATTTTGAGACGTGCAAGCACAATAAACTTCAGAATTTTGGGCCACGGGCAAACACAAGTGCAATTTTTTTTAAAAAAATCAGAGAATTTGATTATTTTCTTACCTTCTGCAGCCAAAGCACCATGGATGGCTGCCCGTGTCGGGGAAAAGGTGATGTTCCGCTGCGGGTCTGGACTGTCGTGTTTTGGGGTGAGTTCAAACATTTTGGAGAAATGCATTATAACCTGTAAAATCCACCCCCACCCCCCCAAAAAAAATATAAATCTCCTCAAAATAAGATTTTTTTTTTTCCCAGTCCAAGAGGCCACATTTCACACCCCCATCCCATGCAATGATTGAGGAGAGAGAAAATTCCACCCACCACCCACCACCCCCCCGTGACACGTAGAGGGGAAACCAAAGAGCAAAGACCCCACCCAAGACACATTTTGGGGGGGAATAGTCAAAAATAGGGCAATTTTCCCCCTGGTTGCAACCCCACACCGGCCGTGGTCCTTCAGCATCATCTCTGAGCATGGCTGTCCATGTTTCCACCTCCCTGTGGCCTTTTGGAGGCAAAAGGAGATGCCTTAAAAAGTCCAATTTTTCTGTTCAAATTCCTCCATCCGGCACAAAACCCACCCAAAAAACTCATCTTTTGCCCAGGGAATTAATTGCTCTTTCTTCTAATTGATAATCCTCTCGATCGATAGTCCTTCAAAGCAATGTCTTCGATATTTGTTCGAATCAACAGACCTTGTTTCTCCAACTTGATAACCCATCAAATCAGAAGTCCATTAAATCAAAAATTTGTCAAATCAAAAGTCGATTAAATCAAAAGTCCATCAAATCAATGTTAATTCAAGCTGTTATTAAATAATATCCCACCAAATCGCTATTCATTGGCCACCAGGATTAAATCAGGTGCCACCTCAAGCCCAACTTGAGTCTTGATCTCCGGCTCGGGTTGCCAAATCCGACCTGACGGATGATGAAGGCACTGATGGCAAATTCTCCTCTTCCTTGGGCTTTCCTAGGTCTTTTTTACTTGTTCAGTGTCTCTGCGTCGGCTTCACGTCACCTGGGGGAAGACTTCGTGGTGGGCTTCATGCAAAATGGTTTGCAGCAGACCCTCAACAGCGACTTCAAGCTGCTCATCACAGGTTATTCACCCTTCACATCCGTAACCATCTCCATGAAGAAGCCAGGCTTGAGGATGACGGTGCAGGCGACCACAGGTCAAACCATCCTGGTGAAGATCCCACCCCAAGCAGAGATGGTGGGAAGTAAAACCTTCGATAACACCGTGGTGGTGAGGGCCAACAACGCCATCTCCTTGGTGATGGTCAATGAGAAACCCACCTCGATTGATTCAGCTGTGGTATACCCCATGCACAGTTGGGGCACGGAGTACCACGTTGTGACACCCAACGTTGGCACCGACCGCTATGGCGAGTTCGTGGTGGCCGCCTGGGATGAGCCCACCATGGTTGACGTGCACCTCAAAGCCACAGTGACCTATCAAGGCCGGTCTTACCCCCGAGGCTCGGTGCTCCCCATCAGACTGGAGCCTTTCCAAGCAGCCCAACTCCAAAGCCCGTCTGATATGTCTGGCACAAGGATCGTGGCACAGAAACCCGTGGCCGTCTTCACTGGCCACACTTGCTTGGCCAGGTTTGCCAATTGCGACCATCTGGTGGAGCAGCTCCAGCCCGTTTCCAGCTGGGGCACCACCTTCATTGTGCCGCCGTTGCCTTTCGAGACTCAGTCTGATATCATCTACGTCTCCACCTCCCAGCCAACACGCGTGGAGTCTCAACACGGCGTGACCAAGACCGTTCGGGAGCTACGACCCAGCCGGTCAACGTTCTATGGACTCCAAGCCTCAAACACCTTGTACCTCTCTGCCAACGCTGGAATCCAGGTCATTTTTTTTGCCGACGGCGGTAATAAAGATGCCATCTCTTACGACCCGTTTTTTATGACCATCCCAGATGTCTCCAGCTACTGCCACTCCTATAACATCTTCGCCTTGGACGGTTATGATAATTATGCCCTGCTGATAGCCAAGACCTCGGAGACGTCTGGAATGATGCTCAACAAAGTACCGTTGAGAAATATCGCGTGGAAGCCCGTCCCGGGCACCGATTACTCCTGGGCCGGGCAGAGTTTGGGCAATCAATTCGCCGTCCATACGGTGGAACACAAGACATCTCCTTTTGGGTTGCTCAGCATAGGGATCCGGGACCAAAAAGCCTACGGGTCGGCAGCCGTTTGTGACAGCGGTGAGCGCCCCGTGGGCACCTCCAGCTCTGTTCACCCCCTTTTCCCTTCCCTCCTTCCCCCCTCTCGAAAGCGTGGGTGCAATGCAAGGCAAAACCCCACATTTTTAGGTGTCGAAATTTATTCCTTCGAGCCGGGTGTCTCTAATATCCCCTTTCCATCCCCAAAGCTGATAAACGCTGAGCTCGCATCTAGAGAAGTACCTAATATTAGCTGGTTTCAGCCCAAACCCAGCTTTTCTCTTGTAGCACAAGGATAGGCTACCAGCTAATTAATTATTTTTTTAGGTCTGAAAGGGGGTAATTAATCCAACACGGCTTTGGCCCATTTTAGGATATTGCTTCTAGAAATATGTCATCTATGAATAACCTATAAGTAAATCATCTGTAATTAAACAATCAATGAAAGGAGCCTCAAGTGAGTCAACCCAGATGGTCAAGTCTAAGCTTAAGGTGGCTAAACCTACCCGGGATAATTTTTTATCTATAAATAAATCATCTATAATTAAGCAGTCAATGAAAGGAGCCTTCAAGTGAGTCAATCCAGATGTTCAAGGCTAAGCTTAAGGCTAAACCTAGCTGGGATAAATCCCTGCTTTAATATTTTAGAGATCTGGAGGTGCTGGTTGACTGTCTACGGTGATGGTGACGCTCGCACCGTCCCCGAGGCCACATCTGGCAGCAAAGTCATCCCCAGAAATATAATTGTGTGCCATTTCTTCCAGATCCCTGCCGCCTCGTGAAATGCCGGGCGAAGGAGACGTGCAAGATGGAGAAGGGAGAGGCCGTGTGCGTGCACGACTACATGGGAACCTGCATGGGGTCGCAATCCCTGCAGTACCACACCTTCGACGGGATGACCGTGGACATCCGGGGTGGCTGCACCTACACCATTGCCAAATATTGCGGCAACGATCCCACCTTGGTGCCTTTCGTCGTGGAGGAGAAGAAGAGTGACGGCAATTTTAAGGAGTGGTTGACCAACATCTACGTGTACGCCTACAACATCTCCATCCAGAGAGGAGAGGGAGGCAAAATCCAGGTGGGGTTTTTTTTTTCAGGCTGTGGCAGCGTTATTCTGGACAAAACCAAGTGGAAGAGGATAAAATGTTGTGAGGTCGAAATTAAAAAATGACGAGAACCAGCAAAACCATGGAGTATTGGGAAATTTTGCGTTACAAATCAAGATGCGGCAAAGGAGAGGATGTTTCGTACCCGACTCGAGATGTCTTCAGAGGTGCCTCCAATTAAACCACGCTCGTTTTTTGCTTAGCAGTGAGAGAAAGGCAATTTTAAGGATGCAACTCTGCCATGAGGCTGGCTTTTTATGATTTATCTATGGGGTCCACTAACCATGGAGATTCACCAATAAAAAGGGAGTCTAAACGAGCTGTAAGTCTAGTTTACAAGGTTAGATGAGGTTTCTCCCAGCCGTACAGTTGAGTGATCTTAACATAAATGACATTTTAAGCTCGGAACTTGGAGGAGATGGTTCTCCCATGACGCATTTGGGTTTTTGATCTTTTCCCGCTAAAGCCTATCGCGTATCTACAGGACGTGGGACAAAATTTATTGTTTATGCCGATAATTGCTGCTTCTTGAAAGAAATTTCTCTTTCTGATTGTATCTATCTGCTTTTTTGGGGTTGTGAACTGTTAGCAAAGCAACTCTCTGGTGAGATTTAATCCATCGTCTTCTCCTTTCCCTCAAGGTCAACAACAAACCCACCAGCCTACCAGCCACCTTGGAAGCTGGGAAGATCCAGATCTCCCAAAACGAGGGTCGGACCATCCTGGAAACGGACTTTGGGCTGCAGGTGACCTACGATGAAGACTGGGCCATAATGGTGGCGGTGCCCAGCAGCTATTTCGGGGCCACCTGTGGACTCTGTGGCAACTTCAACGAGGACACGGAGGACGAGATGACACTTTCTGATGGCACTCAGGCTGCCGGTGTGGAGGACTGGGCTGAGAGCTGGCGAGATCCTTCCTGCCAGGATGATTGTGGAGACCAGGAGACTCTGCAGGACACGGCAGGTTGTGGTAAGCTCAGATGGGTGGTCCTCAAGAATTTTGGGAGACAAAGAAGGGAATCCACATGGGGATCTGGCCGCAGGTGCCTGGGAGTTGCTGCCCAGCCCACCAAGTTGATGCTTGTAGGCGTCAACTTAACCAACATCTCTGGCATCGGGGAAGGATTGTGTTGCTCTTTTCATGCCAAATCACCCCAAAATGCACCTTATCTGACTTCAGATGTCCATAACACACAGAATTATGTAGGGTTTTTCTTGAGGGCCATCCCCACAAGGTGTCTCATGGACTCTGAATCACTTGTAGGCATCAACTGAGTGAACGTAGGAGCCCGATGTCCCTCTAAGGAAAGTGCTTAGCTCATCCCTTGTGTTACCCTTTTTTTTTGAGATCTTCTCCTCAAATATTATCCCCACAGCTCAGAGATGCCCCAAAAACAGCCACTTTGAGGCCTGCGGGACATCGTGCCCTGCCACCTGCGCCGACCCCAAAGCCCCCACGTCCTGCAGCAAGCCATGCGTGGCGAGCTGCCAGTGCAACGAGGGCTTTGTCCTCCACAATGACTCATGCGTCCCAGTGGAGACCTGCAGGTGTTTCCACAATGGTCGCTCCTACAAGATCCGGGAGGAATTTTGGGAGGATGGGAGCTGCCAGAGCCGATGCCGATGCGAGGTGGGGGGCAAGGTGGCTTGCAAGAAGGCTGGTTGCAAAGCCCATGAGAAATGCGTCACGGTCAACGGCGTCCCCAGCTGCCAGGCGAACAAGTATTTTACCTGCATCGGGACGGGAGATCCTCATTACACCACCTTTGACGGGTTGAGATATGACTTCCAAGGGACTTGCATCTACCAGTTCGCAGCCCTTTGCACCCAGGACCCCAAACTGGTCCCCTTCACCGTCAAGGTGGAGAACAACAACCGGGGCAGCAAAGCCGTGTCCTTCACCAAAACCGTCACATTGGAGGTCTACGGCAACGTCATCAGCATGAGCCAGGAGCATCCGCGCAAGGTCAAGGTAGGTGTCCGCCAAGGACCTCGTGCAACCTGCATCTAAACTGTTTGTTTGCTATGTTTTCCCCAAAAAATCCTCCTTTTTTTTTTTTTTCCTCATGCACACCTCTGTGGAAGTATCAATTTCTGTCTGCCGTCTCCAGAGGGAGCCCTGAGCAGCTAGTTTAGATTTAAACATCATATTTTAAAACACTTAAAGAAGTTCATATTTTAAAAAAAAAAAAAAAAACCCAGAAAAAACCCTACAACTTGTTTATGTTGTGCTGGAAACGGCCCATTTTCACTCTGGCAAACTAAGCAAGTGAAAAATATCCATGAATAAGCGCAAAAATACTCCCACGTTCAAAAGCATCCACTTTGCTTGATGTATTTGCCTTCCTTCTTTTTTGCTTGATGTATTTTCCTTCCTTCTTTTTTTTTGTTTTTTTTTTTCTCTCTCTCCCATGAGGTTTTCTGAGTTTATATTTCCTTTCTCCCCGACAGCTGCAAACTGACTCAATCAATTTGGGAAAATTTCAACTCCCACCTTGTTTTAGCCAAAGTATTGCACAAAAGGGTTAGCTACAACTTTTCCTTTATTTTTCTCTCTCAACAATAATATTTTCCACTTAATATAGAACCCTATACCTGGAAATCCTCTTCAGGCAAAAGGGTGGGGTTTTTTGCAGAAACACCCAAATCTCAAGTGATTTGCATTTTTTTTTTTTTTTTGGTTGGTTGTTTTCTGGAAATTCTCCTCATGCAAAGCCTTTACCAAAACCACCCTAAATTTGACTGATCTGAATTTGCCCAGAAATTTCACAAAACCCACTTGAATCTCAACCGAGTCGTGTTTGCGCCGAAAATCCCCTTCCCCCCCCCCCCTTTTTTTTTTTTTTGGCAAAAACCCCCAGATCTCGAGTGTTTTGCATGAGCCCTTTGTCACCCGCTGCCACTACCGACCCTCCACACCACCTCCCGCAGGTCAACGGCGCCTTCGTGGAGCTCCCGTTCACCCAGAAAGGTCAATTCGAGCTCTACCACAGCGGCGTCCACGGCTTTGCCCGCACCGCCTTCGGCTTGCGGGTGAGCTTCGACTGGTACAGCTACGCCCGCGTCATCCTCCCTGACGCCTACGCCAGCGCCGTCTGCGGCCTCTGCGGCAACGCCAACCGCAACGCCGACGATGACTTCATCACCCGCGACGGCAAACGGGCCGCGGATGAAATCCAACTGGCTGATAGCTGGAAGGTGGGAGACGTCTCCGGTTGTTCAGCCGGTTGTGTAGGGGATTGCCCGGTGTGCAACGAGGAGCAGAAAAAGCCCTACCGCGGTGACGACTACTGCGGGGTGATCTCCAGAACTGGGGGGCCCTTCCGGGCTTGTCATGATGTCATCAACCCCGCGCCCTTCCTCGAAGATTGCGCCTTTGACGCCTGCCACTACAAAGGCCACCGGGACACCTTATGCAAAGCCATCGCCGCCTACGTGACGGAGTGCCAGAGCCACGGCGTCAGCGTGGAGCAGTGGAGGATGCCGTCCTTCTGCGGTGAGCGTGGTCAGAAGGGGATTCCCCCACCTGCACTTGCCCATAAAAATAAGGTTTTGAGCCCAACCTCCCACTCCCGGCTTTGCTTAGAGCCAACGGAAACAGAAAACGCCTCCAAATTTGGGTTTATTTACCCTGTTTCCAACATCTCCTTGCAACACAATTACTTCATCCTCTTCCTCCACGGTCCTGAGGCCAAACAATGAGTTGAAATGCAAATATGGATGTGGGGAAATTCCCTCCAACTCGTTTCCAAAGCAAAATTCATCCCTTCCTTCATGCAACAGTGCAAAATAAATCCCCGTTGCCCAACAGATTCTTCCTTGATGCAAAGAAGGGGAACGCAAAATCAGTCCCCATCGCTCTCCAGAGCGACATTGGTGGTCGACCACTCAAGATTTGCTTGGATCTTCACCCTAGGCTTTGGGCTGATGAAAAAATAGGATTTATCTGCCCCTTTCCAACCATTCCTTCCAGAAAAATGATTTTATTCTCTCCCCCTACAGCCTCGAGGCCAAAAGATGAGTTTAGATGTAAATACAGATGCGGACAAATTCCCTCCAACTCATTCCAGAAGCAAAATTCATTCCTCCTTCATGCAACAGAGCAAAATAAATCCGTATTGCCCTCTGCGTTCCTCCTTTATGTAAGGAAGGGAAATGCAAAATAAATCCCCATCGCCCTCCAGCGCGATATTGATGCTCCACCACCCAACACTTGTTGCATTTGCCCCCCCCAAGCCACGGTGCAATGATGGAAATATTCACCGCAATGCTTCCGGCTGCAAATCCAAGCGGGATTTCACGTTTTTCTCCTCTGCTTCTTGCAGGTCCCTCCTGTCCCCGTCATTCACACTACGAGCTCTGCGGGAGCAGCTGCCCGGCTACGTGTCGGCGCCGCACCGTCCCCGAGGACTGCGCATCGGTGCTGTGCGTCGAAGGCTGCTTCTGCGACGAGGGCTTCGTCCTCAGTGGCGATGAGTGCGTGCCGGCGGGTGAGTGTGGCTGTGAGCACCGGGACCGCTACTACAAGAAGGGTGAGGATTTCTACACCTCATGCCGGGAGAGATGCCGTTGTAAAGCCAACGGGGTGGTGGAGTGCGAGGAGGTCTTCTGTAGCGCCCACGAAGAGTGTCGAGTAGAGGATGGGGTGTTGGGGTGCTACCCCGCCGGCTACGGGCGGCTGGTGGTGTCAGGCGACCCACACTACGTGACGTTTGACGGGCGAGCCTTCGACCTCCTGGGTTCTTGCACCTACGTCCTGGCACGGCTCTGCAAGCCGGAACCGCGGCTGACGAACTTCTCGGTGCTGCTGGAGCACGACGTGGGCGGTCGGGGCAACGTGGCCCTGATGAAGAGGGTGATCATCTCCATCCACGGCTACACGGTCAGCATGGAGAGGGGACGGAAGTGGGAGGTGATGGTAAGTCAGGAGGGTCCCCCGCCTCGGTGCACGGGGGCGTGCAAAATCTGTGGTGCACGTGGGCGTGCAAAATCCCTAGGTGCGCGCGTGCATGCAAAATACCTCGGTGCACGCAGGAGTGCAAAACCTCCTGGTGTGTGCAAAATCCCCCCCACCCCCC